ATCTTGATGGCAAATTGTCCATCATACTCGTATTGCCCACATGTCAAAATATTTTCCAGGTCTGGGATATCTTCCTTTAGAACCGTGGCGTGTCCTCGCCTTCCAGTCAGTCGTTTGTATTCTTAGGTAGTAGAGAAATATTTATCAGGTTTGCCGGCTGTCTGTGTCGTGCAGCCGAACGCGCGCAACAATCCACCGTGGAATTGAGAAGGTACTTGCGAGGCTTTGACTCTGCACACTCAGTGACTTTGCAACGCTTGCACATCCACATGTCCATTCCCTAGCGGTCACCACCCATCGTTTTCTGCATTTGTCCGCTTTTCCTGTTTGCCAAACGAAATTAGCCAGCATTATTTCAAGCATCAGCAGCAAAGCAATATATCAGGATTTTAATGGTTTTTCTTTTAGTTTTTAATTCAGAAATTGTGTGTACTGTGATATTTAAGTGTTATATCTTTGATGCATGTTTTACCTTTTAAAATGTAATAGTCACAGATATTGCTTATTACAATATATCGGTATTAGGTAAAATGTTTTTCCCTAGTTGTTTGAATATTCTTATAGTTAATAAGTGCATGCATTTCTATATGTATGCGGTTTTAGGTTTATGGTGCATTTCTGTATGTTTATGTAGTATGCGGGGGTAATTTTATTTATATATACGTGAGAACGTATATATTTGTATTTGAATGCATGTATGTAAAAATTATGTCCATGTTTCAGGTAGGGGAAACATACAATTTATTGCATTTTACTTATTAGTATATATAGTTCCCTGCCCCTTGTTCTGCCATCGAGAAACATAAACCAAGTTGTAGAATAAAGTTGTTATCTAACATAAAAATCCGTGTGTGTTAATATTGGATTTGCCGTGACCTTTTAACTTCGTGTCCTGTTCTCTCCATTGTACAGTTTCAACGGCATTTTTCCACAAATATTTCGGAGCATAATGTATTTGACTTTCAAAAACAAAACGGAAAACTACGTAATAATAATATGATTTAAAAGTTACAAATATATTCAGATAATGATATTCTAGATATATTCATTGACTGGGGATTGTACAGGGGATTGTAGGATTCCTAATCGCACACACCTACAATTTAAACCAGATCTATCTCCACAAACACTCAAAGTTTTAAGCTGTGAACAAACCTCGAAAGTCGAAATGACTGCATGACCACGACGACCGCAGTGCCCTCGCGTCCATTAACCTCCAATTTATTCGCGTTCGACCTCACCGTCCAATTACATTCTCCAAAGAGGGGCTTCTGGCCAAAACTTGCGATTCGCCGCACTATAATAGCTTCTCCGCGCCGCCACCTTGCAGCGCTGCCGGCGCCATTAGGAGCACTTCGCGGCCACTCGCTCCTGTCGCCCGCAGCCTGCGCCGCCGCCAACACCGCCGCCGCAACTTGCGCGGAGTTCAGAGCACCCGACAGCTTCCGCCCATGAACGCCTGAACAAGCGTTGAGACGGGAGTGGCTTTCCAAGGGCGTTCAAGGCACTTCCGTGATAAACTATGCAGCAAAGAACGCTCTTCGGGTTTTGGCGAACATTGGTGATTTGTTGCTTCCCGTGTGGAGCAGTTGCGCCGTATCATCGCTTTTTTAGGCCTTGGGCCCCTAGTATTTCATTAAAGCCATGTAACCAATTTAAAGGAGGTGCTTTCTGCAAACATGCTTTATTACTTTTGTATTAGACATTCTTTTCTTATAACTGCTACATTTAGAGATAAATCAGTTTAGTATAACGCAATCTATGATAGACGAAAACGGATAATGAAGGTATTAAAAACAGACGAAAAAATCGTATTACAATTTTCTCGGAGGGAAAGTATATCCAACTGATCCATTTTGTAGGTAATTGCGTGTGAAAGGTCCTTTCTTCTAAAAGAAACCTCTCAGCTATATTATCATTGCCCATTTCGGGGCCGATTCTTTCACAGCTAGATAGAGAAAGGAGCGTAAAAAAATTGGCGTGATCAGGCGGAACACCATGATGGCCTGAACCTCGCCTCGTAAAATAAAGCAACAATGATTTGAATGATACAATTTTTTAAGTGGTTACTTGATGTGCGTAAACATTATCATTTCACTCCATTATGACAAAGCAATAAAATATATTTACTAAAATTTTGTAAAATTAAGTTGCAAGTTACGATACATAGCCGCAATCCGACATCACTCTTTGATGCATTTACTGAGGTTATTGAGTCTTGTGAAGTCATCTTCACTTGCCGATCATGACAAAATGGAAAGCACAAGCTACGTTTGTTACCTCTGGAATAATAACAATTCCTCTTACTTGTAGTTCATTCTTTGTCTTGGTGAAAACTCCCTGCCTCGCCACGTCCCGCTCCGCCCCGCTCCGCCCCGCTCCGCCCCGCTCCGCCCCGCTCCGCCCCGCTCCGCCCCGCTCCGCTGGCAGTTGCGATATTCGCTCACGCACGCGGCTTTGCCCGAAAGTTGTGAAACGTTGACAGCTTTCGTTACACGCGTCGAGATGCTCAAACGACAACCGATACGCACACGGACACACAGACACACTGACACAAACTGTGCTTGCACAATTTTACAGGATGATTTCAACACTTCCTCATGTGTAAGTCCTCCTGCCTAAGATCCTAGTTGTGTTGCATGTCACGTGCTCTAGTATTTGTAACAAAATTGCGTTCTTGCATTACTTTTTGTGGATTCCGTACATAATATTTGTATCAAAATATTGCCCAATGCTGATAATCGTTTTTAAAAATTAATTGTATAAATTAATCGCGAGTTTCTTGAGACGTTTTAGTGATAAGAGGTCAAATGTATTACAATATATATTTTTCAGAAATTTCCAGTGAATTCGTCCCAGTAAGAAGTCAATAAAACACGTTTCACGAGTGATTTTTGAGGAAGAAAAAGCTTATCACTGTGTACAACATTACAGAATTATCATTTAGTCAAAACTGTAATCTTTTAGGTGGAATTGTTCCAAAGATAAACCCTAATTTATATATGCGAAAACAAAAAGCTACAGTGAAATATCAATTGAAATTCCTATTTGATCAATTGATTGATTTCAGTGGTTTCAGTAATTTAAAATGCGCAAATAAAGGGTAAAATATAGAATAACGATATTAACAGAACGTGTTTTAATGTGACATGTATACCATTTTATTCAGAAAAGTCTACATATTTAGAAAATGTTAAAATCCGAAATAGTAAAAAATTCCGATTTTTGATTTGCAACTTTCCAGAAATATCCACTTTATTTTATTTAGTTTCATGTAAAATTGCGCCCTACAATGGTAAGTTATTTTATTAACCAATGTCGTTTAATAGTGACATTTGAACGAAGAGAAAATTCAGAAATTCACTTAAAAATCGAATATCACTATAATGACTTTTTTCTCTAAACCCATTAATTAATATGCACCATATTTGAAGGGGAAGCTTTGAAGTCTCTAACAGCTGTAGCGAAGATTAGAGTAAATGGTGACAGTGTTTGTAAATGACGAGGCAAGAGACGTAAACGGAAGTAGAAACATCAGAGGTGGGATCGGCGAAAGCCTTGAGAATAACGAACAGAGTTGAGGAAGACGTCAAGGAAGAAAGATTTCCCGAGGCATTGTGGTCTGAATGAACACATTTGTGTTCAGACGTTAGTAGGGAGTCATGAAGTGAGCTGGAAGCCGGCTGACTCTTAACAACTCTGGAATACCCAATATTAAGGTAAGTATTTTTGTTAACGTTTATTCGTCAAAAATATTCTCACAGCACGTCCTGAGTGAATTAACAGTATATTTAGAAATACTAAACGGAAGAAATTATTAAAATTAAATTTTCTTTAAGTTGTGTGATTTTACGAAGCTTTATTCCCCGATAAATTCACCCGTCCTTCCTGAATAAAGCTCTTCTTGAACTTTTAAAATAAATAAATATTGAAAACTCTTGATACGTTCATATCTTAACTTGCTCTTCTATGTACATTTCTACTAGTGAATAATATATATCCAGAGGTGCACCCAAGACGTTTTCCGTTTTTCCATTTTCCGGTTGGCTACAGGTGTCCAGCCGACATGAAGGAAGGGGGCTGAAGGCCATTGACCACCCGAAGGTGCGCCACAGCGCATTATCTTGTAACATAAATTAGTCACAATAGCAACTTCATTACCATCTCTATTTTTCCAAACCAGGAGAGATTGCTCAGGGCATCACTACAGTACCTCTGACAGGGTGATCCTGGTGTACCTCCGACAGGGAGTCCAACGGGGGCAGGATTTCCATCAATAGCCAGAAAGCTAGGTCGAGTTCTTTCTCTGTCTGGAGGAAAATTCTAGATGCTGGCTGCTCCAATACTTTTTATTCCCCGGTTTCGTCGATCAATACCAGGCGAATGCCGGAGCAATACCCTAACAAATACGCCGCGGTCTGCGCGTGATCATTCCATCTCTTTAACTGTCCTATCCCACCCCCGATTTACACACACTTACACTTACATGCACTACACTATCACACTTGCGGGAAACCGATCAAAAGCTTAGAGCTTTTCCCGATTAGGACGGTGCCTCGCTGGTGGGCGATACCTGATTGGGAAAATCCTCGCGATCCAATGGTAGGTCGGCGCCGGATCTCGTATCTAGTGGGACACGATCACCGCGTCCTGTCGAGCAAAACATGAACTACAGTTATGGAACTAACGACATTAGCAGATGATCCGCTAGAAATCACTAGCAATTAATCAATCTACCATTAAATCATTAAGTAGTGACGTATGTATTTTCTTTCATTTCCGAAAAGAAACCTGACGTCATTAACTACGCATAACACTATGTGAACAAAAGTATCCAAAATGGTGTTTTGATGCGGTAGTGTTTTTCATGGAGGGGGCTTGTTTTGTGTGACACTATCACGGCACACGCCTACGATGATGTTTTAAACACCTTCCCGCCCCCGGAATCACTAGTAATTAAATAATGTATTTTTTGTTGCAATTTCAGGATGAGCAGACGAATGAAGAAGGATCCCTCGCGGGCTCGTCTTGGTGGCGCGGAATTCGAATTCAAGTTGGCAGGCCTGGTAAATGCCCGCCTACACGCTCTGCAGCGCCGCCAACCTCAACTTCAGCTCCGCTACGAGTTAGCCACGAACGTTCAGGGAGCCAACCCCTTCGACGACATCGTCTTGCGCGTGCGCTGGAGAGACGGCGAGGAAGAGGAACAGAGGATCAACTACTTCTTGCAGCTGAAGCAAGCAGAAGGCACGCATCGTTACTTAGAACAGCAGCATTTCGTGGTGGATGAAACACAGTGCAAACGAAACAATTTCAGCCTCACGAAGTATTTCGAGTTCTACAAGGTTTTACGTGATGTGAGCCAGAAGTCACCGAACGAGTTGGATGATAACAAGAAGATTATACGGGAGTGTGCGTTTGAGGAATACAGGTTAGTTGATTTATTGATTGATTGATTCACTGATTGATTATTTCGTGTTTCTGGTCCCTTTAAATGCTATGGTCATTAATTCCGTAATTGTAAGTCGTAATGTCACTTCATCCTAACTTCCTGGGGATCCGCCCCATCCGTGATAAGCTTATAAAGCTTCCGCCTGGTCTCGACACATGTGTGATAGTTTAGTGCTGTAAGTGGAAGTGAGTAAATAAGCTGTTATGATAGGACGAGAAATAAAAAGGGAAGATTCTTTTTTTTATTTAAGGTAACTTCAACACCTAGGTCATTAGCGACCACTATTGGTGTTAATATTAAAGGTAACGTATTAGTAGATAAAAAAATAATATGTTAGTGTTGGGGGTTGCAAGAACGAACACAAATGAAACCATGCCCGAGGTGGGACTCGAGATCGTACGGTCTTACTACCTTATCGATCTCGGCCACAGGATCGGTAATGAAAAATTGCGCGCCTGGTATTGATCGAAACAAAAACACGCAAATCCACAGACCAAAGCAGACGGCGACTAGAATTCGCGATTGAATTCGATTTAGCTATCTAGCCCCTGTCGAAAACCCTGCCATCGTCGGGTTCGAACACTAGGATCTCGTGGCCAGAGGCACTGTATGTTAGGGTTTTCGTATTTTGTAATGTCGTAAAAATATTGTGATCGTTTATTCTGACTTAAGTAGTGACTATCACATTTGTAAATAGGATTACATGAAAAACAACTTAAGAAGTAGATATACGATAAAATATAAATAAAAGATGCAAGAGAGGAAGGGTCCGGCGTTTGAACCAGTAAAGAATAAAGAATACAAGGTTTGGTTTGGGACACGTCAGCAATTTCTGTGCTTAGGAAAGCAATCTAATAAATAGAACTGTGTGCTACATATGGCTCCCACTTTCTCGTAGCAATAAGTTTTCTAATTTCTTTTGGACTTACCTTTCGGCCAAAATGCATTTTATTGAGTTTTTCTTAATTTTTCTGTTTTCTAATTGTAGTAGCTAAATATTACGTAAATAATAGTATAGAAGAGTAAAACCTCGACCCATATGGAAATTGTTGTTGAAAAATTTGAAACCGTTTTTAAGATAATGTTGTTTCATTGTTTCTATAAATGGGAAATTGAAAGATAATTTTCATAAAAAAACTTTTGAGTTATTGAAAAACTGAATTTGATGTCATTATTGGGAGCATATGCACTCACAAATTCAATAGTGTACACAAAATACTGGCAATGTGTATATTGATAAAGTGACAGATATTTAAAAAAAAACATTTGGAAAATTTTTGAAAAAGCAAAACAATGCAGCACGTGAGTTTAATGTCATCTTGTACAGTCCATTTAGAACTATTTGTACAACAAATATTATGAAAAAAGTTTGAACTATATAAACTATATAAACCGTTTTTGTAAAAATGGTGGTAGAGAGTTTCTAAAAACGGGACATTTTTCGGATCATTCTCCCAGAAAACATTCGAATTTTCGAGAAATATTATTAGGCATCATTTGAACCACTTATACTCATAAATGCAAAGATGTAAAAAAATTGTCATTAATGTAAATATTGAATTTATGAATACATGTGCTTTAATTTATGTCATATATAGTTTCTCGAAAATTCTACCGTTTTCTGTGGAAACAAGCTTAAAATCCCGCACTTTCAGGAACGCTTAAATGTTATTTTCTCAAAATCGACTCCAATTTTGTTCTTCATATATTTCTACCGGATATTGCTATTTGCACTCTTTAATATGATGTAAATTTCATGTTGGTATATTTTTTGTTTTTTCAAAATTACACAAATGTACTTTTTTCTCACCCCGTTAATATACACATTTTTAGAAATTGGTAATCACTATTGTACTTGTGAGTTAACAAACTTCAAATTACTTCTAAGGAGTTTTTTGAAAACTCAAACATTTTCTGGGAAAAAGAGCATCAAATTTCGAATTTTTAGTAACATTTAAAAGCCAGTTTTTTAACAACGGCTCCAAATTTTTAGAATAAAATTTCCATTTAGAACGAGGTTTTACTGTTTTTTCATAATATTAAAATAATATTTCCGCTCTACAATTAGGAAAATGTCAAAAAATGTACTGTGTGCGGCGATAGATGGTAGCTGGCAAGAGAATGTGGTAAGTCCGAGTAGCTAGCCGAGACCAAAAGGAAAAAAAAGTAATTCGGGAAAATCTGTGCGATTATGTAGCACTAGTAGTTTCAAATATATTTTCACCTTCATTTGTCTGCTAGATTACTACAATACTTACTTACTTATTCCACCCTGCCATTAGTTCTTTCTGTTAATTTAACCCTTAATTTATCAACTTCCTAATTTTGGTTTTTCCATTTATTTTGCGCATCATTTTTGTAATAATACGTCCATCCATCCATAAAGCAATTCGAATCCAATCTAGAATAGGATTATTCATAAGTTATTTTCCAAGATTGCCACTAAGTAAAATATTTTTGGAAGGTTCGTGTTGTACACCACGAAGGACGTGATGCTCGGGTGGCAGCCGTCATCACCGAGGCTGCAGTTCGCCTTTCCCTTAGAAGACATCTTCTGCACAACCGACTGGGGACAGATACTCACATTCGATGAAAGCTGCCAGAAAATCTGGAACCTGATAGAAGGTCCTGACGAATACCTCTTTCGTACAGAGTTCTTACCTCGGTTACGAATTTTTGGTGGTCAGGCGCAGGTAAAATAATAATTAATAATAATAAATAATAATAATAATAATAATAATTATTATTATTATTATTATTATTATAATTATCATCTTAAAACACGTGTGTCAGCCAAGAACAAAACTTCACTTCGTGTCCTGACATTACCTCTGAATTCCATTACCATCATCAAATCCCTACACTAAAACTCAGGAGAGTTCCATTTGAAGGATTCTATCAGTACATTTTTTTTCACTCTTCTATTATGAAGGAGCTCTTTGATAATCGTTCGTTTTATTCAGTTTTTGGAACAATAAAAATTATTAACCTGCTAATCTGCTATTATTATCGTAAAATTTTATTTCAAAAACTCAATATTTTCATGTTTCATAAAAATAACGTTAAATGAGGCTTTTACTTGGAGTTCCCGTAATTATTTCAGTGAACTAGATATTTCAAGTCTTCCCAGAAATAGTGGTGCTAAAACAGCACGTAATTTACGCAAAAAATACACGATAAGTACTCACATTTTCAAAAAATTGTACATGTTCTTATTTCAAAATATATCTTTAATAAACAATTTTTTAAACAAAATCGATCTTTCAAAATCTCTCAAAATCTATCTATTCTTAATATTTTACCTGTCGGAAGAGTCCGAAAAATATTTGAACTTTTGCAGAATTTTCAACGTATATCAGACCTTCATCATTTTCTTAAACACAACATAATGAAAAATGAATGAGCCATATTTTTTAACATTTTGAAACAGTACCAGCGACTTTATGTAAAGTACCCCCAAAATTAAAATATCGATTTCTAATTAAAGAGGACGCGACATCAGCCAGATCGATTACGAAATATCAATTTTGGAGAAAATCGATTGAACGGTTTAGCTCATAGCGTTGTTTACAAACGGACAGACAGACATACGCGCAGACACACGTTTTGCCGTCATTCGATTTTTCAGTATCAAGGATCTACAAAACATGGATTCTAGTTACACCAGGTGATAAAAGAATTTTTTTTCTAAATTTAACCACTGGATTTATCCGCCTTTTCGTTACCATGACACTCTAATAGTAGTGATTTTCTGCCGAAAATTCGCCGTTTTTCCGTGCCATTTTATAACTTTCTCTCTACTCCGTAGCGAGAAGGTAAACATTGAGAGAGTCAACCTAATATAACAATAACTCTATCTACGTATATCCTCTTTCTACTATATTTAGATACTTCAGTGAAAACGTATTTTTCAACACTCATGCTTGGAAACTTATGCTTAACTCCATTGTTTATTGTTTGGAGAGTGTTACGTTGAGGAACGCATACGGCAAAATCTATTTTGGCGTACGCGTACTGCTAAGATGTCATGACCATTAAACAACTGTCTTCCGCTAAGTATACCAAACACTGATAGAACATGAATCAACATGGCTGCCTCCTACTATATTGTGAATGACCCCAAAAAGTATATTATTTAGAATATAATGTACTCAACTCGTACGGCAGTATCTTTGGTGAACTCATTTGAAAACGTAAGACGCTGGTCCTAACGTCGTCTAGTCAGTGAAATTTCATTGGTATTTCAAAGATCCACTTTCTGAACATTACGTAAATAACTGTAAGTAAATACAATACGTTACAACATCATTTTTAAAATGAAAATGATATTTTTAATAAAAATCCTAGTCAGCAATGATACGTGACTGATTTTAACATGCAGTTCAAGTATCTCCAAATCTCGTGTCTTTCGACTTTGCCGACGTCTTTTAGGGCAGCGTGTGGTGCTATCCGCTTTTTAACCACGAGTCTCACCCATTTCCTGTGGCTTTCCTCTTTGCGGTGGTGATAATTTCCTTGATATAACACTTCCTGTTGTTGCCAAAAAAATTCACATACCTGGAAAACACAAAACATCATGCAAGCATTTAACATGAAGCACTCAAAATGTATTAAGATAGTATTTCAAAAAATAATTCAGTGTCAACTGTTACAATGGTTTAAAATGTTCTTCATTCCAAAACATTATTTTCCTTTGCACTTCAATTTTTCTCAAGCGATTAGTCATTCTTTCATTATGTTTGTAGATGTATTGAAGAAATAGCATAAAATACTGCTTCCGTCGTTTATACATTAAAGAGGAAAACTTATTGTCATGTTTTGTAAATAATTGTATTCATATTACTAATGTTTTGTGTGAGTAAAAAATCACAAAACAAAAGCATGTTGCAAACGCAAAAGAACAAAAAAAATTTTGTGGTCATGCGAAATCTCGATAGAAATTGCACTAAGACACAGCACTCCTTGTTCATTCAAAAAAGCGAAGTCAAGTCGTTTTCATTCTAATTCACTGAAAAGCTATAAAATATAAATGATACGTGGTGAATTATTTATTAAATTCCAAATTAACCTGATTAAAACGGAAAAACATGTTAGAAAGAAATAGTTACCAATGGAATAAAAAAGTTAGTGAAAGATAGATGAAAGAAACTGAAAGAATGATATCTTATTAGGGCTAACAAATACAAAGTAAAGAAAAGCAAGGGTAAAAACTATGTGTTTTTAAAGGTTTTCAAAGACAAAAGATAATATATGAAATATATAAAGGAATATTTGCTTTACAATATTTACTTTCAATACATCGCGAAAACGTGAAAACGTAATTATTTCAATTTTTTGCTCTAGCCATCTGCGTTGGATCAACTAATAGCAGAAGCTACCACTGACGCCCTGGGCGGGCAGCTCCCTCGCGACGAGGTCTTTCTCTTCAAGTACCTGTCGTTCCTGCGCGACTGGTGGCAGAGCAGCGAAGGTGACTGTCTCACAGAAAGTACCACCGAGCTGGAAGACATTATCCGCGACGACATCAACGACTCCACCTGCACCGAGTGCTTATTCTTCCAGGAGCGCTATTGCGAGGCACTGGCCAATCAGCTGCAGGACGGTCACGCCTCCTACATTGTGACGCCCAGCATACCTGCGAGTTTACGTCACTCGAAACTGAAACTTACTTTTGGAAAAACCCTCCCAAGAACGTTCATAATTATCTCAAATACGAACGTGGAAGAATATCCATTAGAAGCTTTGTTGTCTGTGTGCGAGAAACTCGCCGAAGAAGTGGTGTTAACTCTGGATTGTGTTAACGAACAGGTTCTACATTTCGCTGGTGAAATCTTGGCCAGACAAACGTGTAACTTGCGAATCGTGTCGTCAACGTGGGAACGTAGTGTGCACGACGTTTTGGCACGTATGGCGCAGCGGTACACCACCTGGTCCGAGGTTTGGGCGCTGGGGCACATGCAGGATATCGAGGCTCAGCGCCTCCTGGAAGCGCACGTCTTGTTCCAAGGTCACGAGGTGGCGCTGCAGGAGCTGGACGGCGCGTGGCCGTCGATGCGCCGTGAAGTGAGCGGGGCGACTCTCGCAGCCTTGGCCACTGGAGACACTGTGGCTTTCGGCGCTCCTCTGCCGGAGATGGAGGAACATTATGTGCAACGGGAGCTGTACCACAAGGCGGAGTTAAGCAGAGACGTGTTTCAACTATCGAGCAGTTTGGAGCACTTTTTTCTGAAAGGGTAAGATGCGTCAGGATAAAAAGTGCTGATAACTGTAATTCAAATAGTTACGCAAAGAAAAGTTTTTTTTTTTGAAAATATATTTTGAACCAATTTTTTTAAAGACAATTTACTGTTTTTTAGTCCAGAAAGGCAGTACGTCTATCACCCCGTGATGTCCTGTTGCGAACTTTTGAATTTATATGTCTCTTAGTTCATAAGTATGTATTCATCCAGCAAGTTTGCGTAATGACACCGGCTTTACTTTCTATTCTGTAACGACCCTATGGTTAGTGATAAGACTGATGAGTACCACAATTTCCACATCTGTTAACCGGGATTCAAATTACAGTAGATTCATTAGGAATTTGTGAGAGAGGAAGCGAGTTTTCAGCAGGATTTCCGTTCTCTTCCCGTTTTCTAAGCTTCTCAATCCACAATTGCTTGATAACTTATGTGATATTAGCACTCGTTTATTAAAACCATTAATAATCAAGATTCGCCGAATAGACGACTGAGGATCATTAAACTTACTTCGATTTCTTTCGAAAGCAAGCAGGTTCGTCTTCTCCCAAGGTCTCAGGCGACTGTCAGTTTGATACACTAGGAGGCAATACTGGCAAGGAAGAAGAAGTAAATAAATTATCACTTAAATGTTTCTTTAAAATATAAATGTAACTAATGATAACTGTATTTCATTTATTTTGTTGTTGTTTTTTTGATAACTGATGTCCAGATTCCCAGAGTCCGAACTTGCTCGCCTGCAGTCCGACGATTGCCCGTGGAAAGAGAGCTACGAAATGGAGGAGCCTACGCGAAATGACCGCGGACATCGCCCGAGCCTGCGCCGTCATCTTAACACCACCACGACTTGGAGCCAGTGGACCGACACCGACGAAGAGATCCTGCTGGTGCAGGTATCTTCACCCATTTGATCACTTGGCATTAAACGCACAGTAACTTACAGATGCGATGAAAAATAATGCATCGTTGTTGGTGATTAACATGCTATAGAATTCCTCATTCGGACGTTATGTGCCTTGCAGAGGAATCAATTTAATTGAAGTTGTATTTGAGATTGCAAAGTTACATAAATCAGGATTTTCACGATTTGTCTCCCAACTGTTCTGGACTGCATATACTAACCATGTGGTGGCAACACTCAATTCCCATTATTTATGGTCTTAATTTCCTGCAGTCTAGTTATACTATTGTATGCGGACAGTTTGTATGAAGGTATCGTACGGCGAAGTTTGTATCAAGGTTTAGTGCCATATGAAAAATCCAATGTCTTAGAAGGAAAAAGAAGATAACATAAATAAAAAACAATAATGTTTTGACTTCAGGACACCTCTCAGGAGCCCAGAAACCTGCACTGGCTGTCGTTCACGCACGGGCAAATCGTGTGGCACAAGAGCAGCGGAAGCAGCGCCGCCCTGCGGCCGTTTGTGCAGCGCCGCAGCGCCGAGTGCGGCGACGACAGCAACTGCGCGCACGCCGACTGCGAGGGGCTGCTGGGGTGGCGCGCGCGGGAGCTGCTGCTGGTCAGCGAGCCCGGCATGGGCAAGTCCACGCTGCTGGCGCGCGCCGCGCACGCGCTCAAGCGGCAGGAGCCCCAACACTGGGTGCTGCTGCTGCGTCTCGGTCACGGCCTCCTCGACCAGCTGTCCGACGCTCCAACGCCCGAAGATGTTGTGGCGCTGCTCGCCAAGGCCGCTGGCTGCCAGCCAACGGACGACGCCAAGGTACATTGTAACTCCAGTTCTCAATGTAAAGCCACTTAAGACCCTTCAGCTCAACTGTCAGCATCTGCTCAACCTTCAGCTCTACACCCTTCAGCTCAACACCATCTCAACACCCTTCATCTCAACACTCTTCTGCTCAACACCCTTAAGCTCAACACTCTTCAGCTCAACACCCTTAAGTTCAACACCCTCCAGCTCAACACCCTCCAGCTCCACACCCTTCAGCTCAACTCTGTTCAGTTCCATACCCTTCATCGCCATACCCTTCATCACCATACCCCTCAGCTCAACATTTTTTAGCTCAACATCCTTCAACTCAACACGAGGCTGTCTGTATTTCAACTATAAATGCTCAACAACAAACATCTCAATTTCCTTCTATTCAGTCTCCTTTTCTTGAACTGTTTTTTTTACTTTACTTCTCCTTGACAAATGTCACTCCTAATATAATACTCTCTGCTCCCAACTGTCTCTATCGTTCTCAACGGTCTTCTTTTGAATGCCTCGTATCTTCACTGCCTATGAATTGGCTTGAGTCCGCGTCCCTAAGCGAGCCTTGCCCGCCTGTGCGCAGGCGCCTTGGCTGGCGGCGGGTGCGCGCTTCCTCCGCGAGAGTGTGCTGCGGTCGCGGCGCGCGAGCGTGCTGCTGGACGGCGTGGACGAGGCGTGCCCTGCGCACAAGGCCAAGGCGCTGGCCGTGCTGCGCGTGCTGCGCGAGTGGCGGGTGGCGCGCGTGTGGGTGACTGCGCGCCCGGCGCTGCAGGAGGATCTGGCGCAGGCGCTGCAGTGCGCTCCGCTCGGGTTGCGCCCTCTGTCGGAGGACGAGCAGCGGCGGTACCTCGCGCAGCGCTGGGGGAAATCCTCCGAAGCACAGGTGAAGAACAAGGAATTGTTTGCATTTAAATGTTGCTAGTGTCTTGTATTTTTTTCTGAAAATTGTTTCCTTATTCAACCTTCTGTTCTCTCTTATTTTTTCTTCTTTTTCTCATTTTTCTTCTTTCCCTTCTTTGTTCGTCCTCTTCTTATTCTCTACTTTTTCTGATGGTTATCTTTGTCTATCTTTCTTTTATAATTAAATGTTGCTATTGAGAAGTGAATACATTTTGCCTTAAATGAATTTTGTCTCTGAAATTGAATAATTTTATTACCTATAGTTCATGTAGGGAAATATTTCCAACTTTATGTAGACAATATTTATGAAGACGTATGACATTCCCGACTCAAGGGCTATTAAACAATAATTTGGAATATCACCCTTCATTACTATTCTTAAAATAATTACTTTGTCATAATTCTTTTAATAGTTAAATTAGAGAGGGTGTACATAGTTAAGTTATTTCAGAATATTCAATTAATTTCAAAAGTTACTTTGTTGTTGAGTTTTGTATTTCCATTTAGGGGAAATTTCCTTTCTTAATTGCACTTTGTATGGAAAGTCTTCGCGGGTAAAATTAGTGAGAATTTATGGCATGCCAGTACAAAATTAAAATAAATTTTAATTAATGTGATGTGACTGTTCAGAGAAATATTAAACTTTTAAATAGCAATATCTCAGAATTTAGAATTTCAAGTTGTTTAATTTTGAAACTGGTGTATTGATACATATTTCGAAATCGTATACCATACAACTATTGATCAATCGATCCAAAAATTGTATTTACTTTGAACAACAGTAATAAATACTCCAGTGTTTGTACATTTTTATACTTCTTAAAAAGGCGAATTGGTTTTGGTGAGTTTTAATTATAGATCTTTCAAAATTGAACTTTTAAATTCTACAAAATTTTAGATAGCATACTACTCGTAAAAATTCTTAAGAACTTGTATATTCGCAATTATGTTTCTTTCATCAAATCATTATTCATTTTCCAACGGTTCAATGCGTTACCTTTTTTGTCTAGTAGCTAAAACCTATTCCATAATCGTCACAATACATCAGTTCATGATGACATTAGACGACAGATCATTGAAGACTTACTATACGAAATTCATTTCCGATATAAATGACAATTCAATATGGTGGAGTAAACGCAAACATTTTTTTTCTTTTTCAGAATGTGAATGAGCGAGTTAATCATTTCTTGGGAGCCTTGCAAAATGCCACAGAATATCATGGCCACTCTTTGTCAGGCGTCCCCCTGTACACACACATCCTCGCTGAAGCCTACAAGAACGAACCCTTCCAAACAGATGAAAGCCATTCTCAAGACTCGCTCTCACTCATAAACTTCATGACAATCATACGCAAATTCGTTGAAGAAACAGAGAAGAGGTATTGGAAGAAAAGTAGAATACCACAAACTACACTAATTAACTATGGAATTTCCCGACAATCAAAGTTTGTGACGATGCATCAAATATGTGCAATTTTCTTGCTGTTCAATGATAAAAAAATGCTTGGAAATTACTATCATAAGGTCAACGACGCAGTCAATAAAATTGTTAAAAAATTTGATACTGAGAGGAAAGGAATTTTGACTAAAGTTATTGACGGGAAACCGAAGTTTATGCATCAGACATTTGTGGAATATTTTGCTGCGTCGTGGCTCTGTGATCATTTTCAAGATGTACCTGAGTTAATCAACTACGTGTATGCCGACTATGGGAGCGAGGTAAGTGCCACCAAAAGGTTTCTTAATTTATGACACAGTGTATTATGATAGCATGTAAAAGCTAGTTCAGAGAACACTCCTTTTATTGTGGAATACCAAAATGTCACACGAGTGTAATACAACGTAATGGATGCATCTAGAATGTTAAAATCCGAAAATTGTATTGTGGAAATACGGCACGGCCTGGTGTCATTAACCTTGAATTGATTAGGGGAGGGCGTTGAAAAATGATCTTTAACAAAATGTGACGAATTCTCCGTCTTACGAAGACAGCCAAGCAGTTCACATGGTATGGACATTATGCAATTGTAATTTTGGGATAATGTATTTATGGGGTGGGTAAATGTTTGTTTGGTCAATCCATAATAGTGTAGGCTAAGCAGTATTGTTTATTAGAGTTTTAAGTTTATTAGAGTTTGCATTGTTTTAATAATAGTGTCATTTATTGTCGTGTATGAATTTTTCATTAAAAAAAATATACTTCTTGTTCGTGGGTATATATGAGTTTAGTTCTGTAGTGGGAATTATAAATTATTAATTTTAAGAAAATAGTAGTAGCAAATAGAGGTTTTACCCGAAGCCTAGTGAGGGAAAGTCGCGACGCGATTATTTCAGAGCAGATGTAGGGATTTTTCGTATAGCGAACTCTATAATTAGCAACAGTCGGATGACATCCAAAGTTTCCACGTACATTATGCTCATAAATTACACTTGTTTATTCGGTTGTCTATGTCTGTGCAAGTGCCCAGCTTCTTGGACGCGCATCTGACATGGATGCGCTGCGCAGATGCATGCCGTTCACCCTATTCTCCATGTTTCCAGTAGCGTCCAGCTTCTTGGACGCGCATCTGGCATGGATGCGCTGCGCAGATGCATGCCGTTCACCCTATTCTCCATGTTTCCACTAGTGTCCAGCTTCTTGGACGCGCATCTGGCACGGATGCGCTGGGCAGGTGCATGCCGTTCACCCTGTTCTCCATGTCTGTGCAGGTGCCCAGCTTCCTGGACGCGCACCTATCGTGGGGGCTGCGCCTGCACGAGGCGGCGCTGGGCGGCAGCGTGCGCGGCGTGTGCGAGGCGCTGCGCGCGCACGCGCCCGTCATTGCGGTGGACCGCGGGGGCCGCACGGCCCTGCACCTGGCGGCGGCGCGCGCGCTGCCCGACGTGGTGTCCACTCTGCTGGCCGCCGGCGCGCCGCCCGCCGCGCGCGACCAACTGCTGCGCTGGACGCCGCTGCGCTACCTGGACGCCGCCGCCGGCCGCGCCAGGGCCAACGCGGAGCAACTGCTGCGCGCGGCCGACGCTCTGCTGCGCGCGGGCGCAGATGCGCGCGACGCGCCCAGGTAGGACGCGAGACCCTTTTGACCATCTTACAGTACACGATTTTGCCCCCGACGTACGGAGCACTTTAGAGAGTGACTTGGTTGAGAGTTGACAGACCATTTGTACGTCACTCGCATCTGCGCAGAGAATATATGTCAGATTTCTCTTTTTTTATTGTCTCCCTTTGTGATGGGCAGCTCGTTTAAGTGAGAAATATTTAAAGTATGATATAAAATATTTAAAGTAAATGATAAAAAGTATTTAAATAATTTTTCCAAATAAAAGAAGGTAACAAATTAAAATTCTAGGTCTCTCTCGATCCGTCACTGCTCGGACATCGCTGTTAAACGTATGCGGTTTAGTTTTGGGACTACTCTGAAATAAATATTTATTGTCAGCGTTGATAAGATAATAATATTTTTATTCGGCAATTGTCTTACGTGTAGCATATACGATAGTTCTAATGGGATACTCTCCTTTTTGTACGATACGTTTGACTACAAACTCCAATACCCACAAATTTGACTACAAAATTATATTCTAATATAAATCTATAAGAATGGAACGGTATCGTAATAGCTGGCAAATTGTAATTAATTTTGGCGCCTGATTAAACATGGAATACATGCACTCTTCAAAGAACGTTTGGATTTAAACAACAACTCTTCTGAGAGGATTTAAATATCGTTATTTAACACTGTATTCTAGGGTGGATAGTCCTAAAGAATATCGTCGCGTCTCACAATTATTTTAAATCTTTTCGCTATTTAATTTTAATTTCTAATACATCATTTTATTTACGCCCGAAAATGAAAAAACATACAAATGTTTGTTTAAAGTATGTAAAACGTGCGTATGAAATATTTTTAACATTTGAAAATATTTTAAAACAGTTTAAAACGTCGGCGACTACACATTCAGCTGCGTAGTAGAAATTATTTGAAGAGTTTATGATGAAGCAACTTCAAACTGTTACTTCAAATTTCATAAATATTAAGTAGGTAGTTTGTATTTAAAAATGTAATATGTAGTGTCATTTCCGTGGTTACCTAGAGAAAGAAAGAGAAAAATTGGATGTTCCCAATGCATTAACGTTTTGCTAAGTTTTATTGTTAGCATGAGTTAAATTTTGTCTGATTTTGATTTATTTATTTAATTTTGCGGTACGCATTTAGTTGATGGTAACAATGAGGACTGGCTGATAATGTTAGTCAGTATAATAGCGTCGTGGAATTGGAATTATGAAGTTATAGGAATGAAAGGTTTGTGGGAAAACTTTGAAACTTTACATTATTTAAAGCAATGCATAAATAAATGTGATATTGAAAGCTTTATTTAATTATTTACTATAAATAATAATAATATTAGTAATAATAATTATAAAGAGATTGATATAAGGCAACGAATTATTTTTACAATACGCTATTAAATATTCCTGCTTCTGAATCGAGCGCAGAAAGCTCCAAATCCCTTTTAGAATAATATAAAAAGTACATTCAAATGAGTTCAATATAATTTAAGTTTCAAGTTCATCATGAGAAGGCCAGTGCACAAAATCATTTTTATCACGTCATAATTTATTCGATATAACGTAAAATAAATTGATTTTCGATATATTCAAAAGTTTTATCACGAAATTAAAATAAGTGATAGTTTAAATGGAGTGGAAGAGAAATATGTGTCACAGGCAGAATCAGAGTGCCTATCAAAGACTATTCTTTTTAAAAGCACTAACATTTGTATCTAGATTTCAATAATAATTCGAATACGATATTAGAACCAACACATAGTTGATTTTTTAGTTTTATTCATCGTCAAAAAACAGTAAATGTTATATGTAGTAACGTAAGGAGGAGAATGATATAATAATAATAATAATAATAATAATAATAATAATAATAATAATAATAATAATAATAATAATAATGTACACATGGTTTCTTGTTCACTAGTGATATTCAAAATATCTTCATATAATTCTCTAATTCACATCACTGCTAATAAACCTTCCCTTAGTCATTAAAAAGCGATAAATTCAGGTCTTGTGGTCTGAACCTCTTCAGAAATAGAACTATTGATTATTATTATTATTATTATTATTATTATTATTATTATTATTATTATTATTATTATTATTGCAACGGCCATTGTGATACCGATGCACGTTATCTTTCGAGGCCTCGGAGAGATGAACGTGTGTAATTAGAGGAAACTGCTTTTTACGGCTGTATCCCTTCATAAGGCAAGTTTGTTACAACTTGAATTATCAATAATGAGATGTTAGGATGATAATGAGAGGTGAAGGGACAATCGCAAATACGACCATGCTTACGCATGACTCAAACCTGCAGTCTCCTCGGTGCAGTCGACGGCTACCGGAACCCTTCACGCAACGGGGCCGGCTATACTCCATTCGTAATTTCTCCTTTCAGACTGATAAGCAGCGCGCGCCGCGACGGATCGCTGATGAGCCTCGCGATGGAGCGCAACTTGGCGAACGTGGTTGGCGCGTTTCTGGCGCGCGGGCTGCTGGAGCGGGTGGCACGGCGCGCGGGGTGGGGCTCGGCGGCGGGGGGCGTGGGCGTGAACGAGGCGGACGCGAGCGGGCTGGCGCCGCTGCACCACGCGGCCATGCGCGGCCACGCGCGGCTCGCTGCGTTGCTGTTGGCGCGCGGCGCTGACGTCCATGCCCTGACCTCCGTGCGCAAGACGCCGCTGCACCTGGCGGCGCTGGGCGGGCACCGCAGGCTGTGCCGCATGCTCATTCAGGTATGGTTGGACGTTCTTGACAGCTTGCAGGACTGTTCCACAACTGCACTGTTCTTGGAAACTTTGGCAAATATGATTTTTGTACAGACCAGTATGTTTTTTTCATGTAGTTTTTTTTGGCAAACAGCTTTTTGACATGCAGATTTCTTGACAAGCAGTTTTTCAATATGCATTTTCAATACGCAATTTTTCAACATGCAGTTTTTCAACATGCTCTTTTCAACATGCAGTTTGTTCAACATGCAGGTTGTTCAACATACAGTTTTTTCAACATACAGTTTTTTCAACATGCGGTTTTTCAATAAGCTATTTTCCAACGTGCAGTTTTGCAACATATAGATTTTCAACATCCAGTTTTTCGTAATGCTGTTTTGTTTTAATTTAGTGACTGCTATGCCGTTTTAAGTATGCGATTTAAGTATATGTTTTCTTCTAGGTGTTTCTTTACTTTCATTTCTTCTTTTTCTTCTTCATACAATTATAATTTTATATCATGAATCATATAATCCTCATTTTTTGCCATTGTATGCTTCTTTCTGCGCTTCGATGCTGCGTCTCGACAACGTCTTGTTTGAATGGGGGAACGGGTGTCGCTGAAAGTGTCATGAATGATACTCGGCCTTCCCCGCAACTACTTATTCGTTCAATAATCCTGCGCCGCGCAACCTGATTCCGCGGTGACTGTCCCCAGGCGAAGGCGAAAGTGAACGCGTGCGACGAGCGAGGGCAGCGCCCGCTGCACGAGGCGGCGCGCGGGGGCCACGAGGCCGTGTGCGAGTTGCTGGAGGAGGCGGGCGCGGACGTGCGAGCGGCCGACGCCCGCGGGCTCACGGCGCTGCACGCGGCGGCGGGCGCGTGCGAGTGCGGCGTGTGCGAGGTGCTGCTGCGACGCGGCGCCGACCCCAACGCACGGGACGCGCACGGCCGCACGCCCCTGCACCACGCGGTGCACGGCACGAGGCAGGAAGACCCGCTCCGCTGCGACTTCGAGGTCCTCACTCACTCATGGCGCACGCGACTAGGAGGTGTAGAGTGGAGAACCGAAAGACCAGTTGGGGTGCGGTACCAGGCGATGGAACACTTTATACTCATGCATTCATATTACGCGAAAACTATTCCTTTAAAAAATGTACTTGTTCTAATTTGAATATCACTTCTTAGATCAGCTTCGATAAAGAAAAAAACCTCAGTACTTAACATTGTTCTTATGCGAATTTTGAAAATACAAAGAATTTTTGAAAAGTGAGAATTTTCCGTGAAAGTGAGAGTGATATGTGAGGATCGTTCAAGAAAAAATATGGAATCTTTTTCGAAAAAATAAGTATTTGAAAGTTTCGTATATTTCACTCAAAAATACGAGAATACAAACTATATTTTGGAAAACGTACATGATCCTATTTCGTCTTTTTCAAAGCTCTGTGAGAGAAAAAATATTTAGGAAACAATCTATATTTTCCATATGTCTGGCGTTCGATGACTTACAAACTATTTTTGAAACAGTCATTTTCGAAAATTTCAAAATTGAGATGTCATTTTTTACGTTTTTTATGGGGGGAGAAAAAGGTGTAATAAAAATTGGAACAGTTTTTGAAAAATGTTGAAAATATTTTAGTTTTCATATAGTAGTTTTATCGTATTGTATTTTCAATAGTACTTTCAAAAAATATCCATTTTAAACTCATAGGATCTTGAGTTAATCAAGAGCCACCAAAGGATATTGATTTTACAGAAAAACATTTGGACGGATTAGTCGCCAGTGTTGGCCACAGACAGGGAAAACGATAGATGGGCAGTCAGAAAGAAGGACGTTTGGGAGTGAACCAATTTCTCGAAATCACGAACCCAAGAACAAGGATTCTGACTACATAAGGTGTTAGAAAAACTACATATAAGAACAAGGTCATAGCTTCCTAAAATAAGATTTTTTGCCGAATAATTGCCGATTTATGCAGCAGCGTTTCAATACTTTCTCTTACTACTTAAGTATGTTCTAAGGTGAAAGAGTCAAAATAGAAAAATTGCACGACGAACATAATTAACAGTTGACGTCACTCTCGTATTAATCCTGATGCAGTAACTCGTTGGTGTGCAGGCAAGCAGCGACGCGGAGTCGCTGCAGTGGCAGGAGACGCTGCTGGCGCGCCAGGCCGTGTGCCAGCTGCTGGCGCGCTCGG